CACCGGGGGGGGGGGGGGAGACCAAATCGCACTCATTGCGAGAGGTGAGTCCAGATAGGGGAAAGTACAGAATCGCAGTGGAAACACCAGGAAAGTACTTGTTTTTCCGAGTGTAGGAAAATGTGGGAGAGAACCGGGAGCATTGCGTGAGTGAGCCCGCTTCAGGGTGGGAGGCGGATTGGCCTGTCTGATCAGCTATTTTATATGCAAGAGGGAACAGCAGTGAATCCCGATCAAAACAACCATGTGACCGCAGCCTCAGAGGCTTCTTATGGTATTGCCACTATATCTATTCATAGAACGCATTTTTATTCTACCTGTACACCAGGGATCTCAGGGTGGCATATGTGGTTTTCCCTTCCTCATTTTGATCTCATATCAATCCTGTGAGATAAGTTAGTCTGAGAGAGGGCAGGCAGATAGACTGTGGAGAGGGGAAGGCAAGTGAGATTCAGCCTCCTCCACCCACCACTGGTGGTAGAGAAGGGGGAGCCAGAACCACAACTATTTAAAACAGGCTGCCGCCAGTTGCAACACATACAATTTAGTTATGTATACATCCATACTATTATAAGGCCCTGGCTGAGGCCAGAAGGATATCGTTTGGGCTGGGGATCACCAGTAAATGCTGGTCTAATGAGCACAAGGCTCAATGGGGCACATATATGGAGAGGCAGTCCCGTAGGTATGTTAGTCCCTGGCTGCTCAAGGCCTTAAAGGGTAATACCAGCACCTTGAAATGGACTCGGAATTCTATTGGCAGCCGGTGCAGTTGACGGAGCACAGGCTACAACCAACCAGGCACAACTAGCTGCTCCAGGACTGAGTGGGGCACCTCTCTGGAAGGCAGTAACAGCCTGACAGGCCAGGAGGGGGGGGCACCACCTGAAGGAGTCTTTTGCCTACCAGGCAGGGGATGAGCATAGTGGCAGGGGCAAGAGATTTCCCAGCCCAGGGCATCAGCTGGGGACATGAGGGCTAGTGGTTAGAGTTCATTAGTTGTTGTAGATTTTCCGGGCTGTATGGCCATGGTCTTGGCATTGTAGTATTTGACGTTTCACCAGCAGCTGTGACTGGCATCCTCAGAGGTATAACAAAGATGGAGTACTCTCTGACCGTGAAAGCCTTTGACAACATATAGAGTATAGGAACTTTCCATATGACATCTAGCAGGCTGTTCCAAAATGTAAATTACTCCTTGTCATCCACCTCCACCATTTCCCCATCTCTGAAGTTTCTAGGCAAGATGTCAAACTGTGTATGGGGGAGGGGTGCTATGCGGACATCTTCAAACCTTCTGTAGGGAATGCAGCACCATGTATACACAGTGAAGATTTCTGTCTTTTAGAATGATTTTTAATGTTATAATAACTAATCACATGGAGACAATGATGTAAATGAAGTAATGTCTGGTTTTCTTGTAGGCTAAGAGTGTACGACATCTGACATCAGGAAACTGGGAAGTTATCAAAATTTTGGCATATGATGAAAAAACGCAAAAGATGTGAGCATTATTTTTCTTTGTCTATGCAGGTAAAATATCTGTGTATTAACAAGATAGAATCCATTTTACTGGAAATAGCACATTTAATACCATTCATCGTTCATTTTCAAGTGCTAAAATTAGCTATCAAAATTTAATTCATGTAATCTACCAATATACTGCAAGTACTATTCTCAGTTAAAGAGAAAGGCGAGATTGCGACATCTTTCAATGGCATTGATTGAATTAAAAGTACTTAAATGGCTGTGTCAGGAAAATGAATTTCTCAAATCCATTCTCATTGGATCTAGAAAATAAAATGAATACATCATTAGGACGCTTATAAATAAACATATTAATTAAAATAATTAAATGTTCTGTATATTAATTTCATTCATTAGGTTATTCTGGCATGTTTGATAGAGATCTTCACACTTTTACAGAAAGGAAAGAATACTTTCGTTTAGGTTTTAAATAGATAGAAGTTGGCTTCCTGCTATTGAGAGAAGGTACCATCTTAAAAGTTCCCACAATTTTTAATGACAACTCTATTAAAGGTTTTAAAGTGGCTTAAATTTATTTTTCTGCAGTCATCCTGAAATTCTTAGTTTTAAATGGGTGCATTGGCCAATTACCATTTTCTAGTGTGAAAGCCAAGTCATGAAGGTTTTATGTGTATGGCAGAAAATCTCAAGAGCTGTGGTGTATTACCAGAATGGTCTTCAGTCTAGCCTTTTACATCAATAAAGATTCAGGGATTGTGAAATTAAAATTGGAGCCATTGTTTTTTACTATTATTAGATATAGTGCATTGAATAATAATTCATTGTCCTAGAGAAGTTTCATACGTCCTAGAGAAGTCCTAGAGAAGTTTCATACGTTTTAGTGCAGAACGAAGAAGTATATCTCTAATTATAGCAGTCTTCAGAAATGGAATCCCAAAGATAGGATTTGAAGCAGCAAGGATCTTATCCTGTGGGTCACAAAAAATCAAAACAAGGATCCAACAACTGGGATTTCCCCCTACTTCTCTGTAGAATACTCAGAGATCTTCTATCAGTACAAAGTGGAGGATTTCTTTTATTTTTATAAAAAAACACTTGCCTGTTATCTTTCAAACATTTTCTGTAAAAATATATATCAGATATATAATTGTAAAAGTTATTGTTCCGTATATAGAGCATTTTTGTGCACAATGCTTATCTCATGAAATGTCCCATTCTTTCCATGAAACCACACACCTCTATAAGGAATGGTTCACCATGACATGATATATTCTGGAAGCCTATATTCTGAGCTGCTACCCAGGATCAACTGACTATACATGGTTGGATATAAGTTGGCCACTCCATATCCCCTTGGTCATTTGGGTTCATCAGTAATTATTAGGGATGAACTGATATTCCCTGCTTTGTTGTATATTATATTGTATCATACAAATAGGAGCCGCAGTAGCTCAAATGGTTAAGATGCTGAACTGTAGGCTGGAAGGTCAGTATTTTCATTTACTCATAGTGTAACATTTTGTTTTGAAATCTGCCTGTTTCTCTCTGTGTAGGTGGGAAGTCCTATTTCTTAATAAGTTGATAACTTAATGAATAAAAATATTGGGTTTATTATTGGTGTTCACTTTATGGCTGTTTTTGTAAACAAATGAGATTGTTGGGCCATCTATTTTATTAAGATACAAGTGGGGACCCACAAGAAACTTTGGGGGCAGTTCTCATTCCTTACACCTTTGCTTCCTTCCTTCTCCCCCTACCTCTCTCACCCTCTTTCCCCCTTCTGTCCCCTCTGCTCTCTATCTGTCCTCCATGCATGTTACTTCCTCTCTCTTTCTCCCCGTCATCATTCTCTTTGTTTATCTGCCTCCCCACCTCATCACTCTTTCTGTCTCTTTCTGCTCCCCACCCCATCACTCTCTCTTCCTGCCCCATCACTCTCCCAGCCTCCTGCCTGCTTCCTCCCCCATCCTACACAGCAGCAGCAGTGGTGGTGGTGGCAGTGCTCCCAGCCACCCACTGGCTTCCTTTCCCCCCATACAAGCAGTGGCAGCTTTCTGGGAATCACAACAGATCTCTCAGCTACAGAGATCAATTCAACTTAGTGCTGTCAGCTCCAGGTTGGGAAATTCCTGGAGATTTGGGGGTGGAGCCTTGGGACAGTGAGACATGGGGTGGCAAGCAGCCTCAGCAGGGTATGATGCCATAGATTCAACCCTTCAAAGCAGCCATTTTATCCATGGTGACAGATCTCTGTCACCTAGACAACAGTTGTAATTCTGGGTGATCTCCAGCCCTCACCTAGCAATGGAGTCCTCATGGAGGAAATAGCTGGTTTGGAGGGTGGAGTCTATGATAGTATACTGCTCTGAAGTTCCTCCACTCCTCAAACCCCACTCTCCCCAGGCTCCACACCTCAAATGTCCTGGAATTTCCCAACCTGGCTTTGGCAATGCAATTTCCTTCCCACCCTGCAGCCAACCTACCATTATCTGCCTCTCTGTCTTCAGCTTTCCATTTCCACATACCCCCAGCCTCTACCAAGGAAAATTACAGTCTTTCTCCACAGTGGGGACCAAAGCAGTTTACATTATTCTCCTGTCCTCCTTTTTGTCTGCACAACAACCCTGTGAGGTTGGTTAGGTTGAAAATATGTGACTGGTCCAAAATCACCCAGTCAGCTTCCACAGCAAGATGGGGATCTGAACCTGGGTCATGCAGACCCTACTTTGAAACTCTAACTGCTGCACCACACTGGCTTTCATAGTGTGGCTGCTGTTGAACAGTAGCAAACAGCCAAGCCTAGTTGAGTCATGCAAGTCACCCAGAGGGTGCTGCTAGGCCTCGGGTTGTCAACGTCCAGGTGGAACCTGGAGATCCCCCAGAATTGCAACTGAACTCCAGACAGCAGAGATCTGTCTCCCTGGAGAAAATGGCTGCTTTGGAGGCTGGATCTGTGGCATATCCAGCTGAGGCCTCTTCCTTCCCCAAACCCAGCCTTCCTTAGACTCCACCACAAAATCAGAATTTCCCAGCCTACCACTGGCAATCCTTGTGAGGCTTGGCACTAAGGATCACTCCCTGAAAGGCCAAAATAGGCCTGGAAAGAGTCCTGCCCCCTTCACCTGCCTTTTACTGACAGAACCAGTTGGAAGTCTTCCCCTGCCAAGAAAATTTAAGAGGATCCCACAACAAAAGAGGTAGGGGTGAGAAGCTCAGATTATTTAGCCATTCATAATGCAGGTAGAATCCTCCCCTATCTGAGATCTAGTCCTGCTTTTGCTTCCTCCCCTCTTTGTCTCTGTCTCTCTCTCTCTCTCTCTCTTCATTTCAAAAGGTATTTGGGGGGAAGGAATTCAACCTTCCCCGAGGTTTTTTGTTTGTTTGTTTGTTTTGTTAAACTTTTTGGATTTTTCTGCAGACTCACGGAGTCCCCAGAGTCTGTAGAAAAACCTGTTAGGGGAGAGTGTGCCCTCTGTTTCCTGAAATAAATATCCACATACAGAGGGAACTGTTGAGAATTTAGATTATATATTGTTAATAATTTCCACTTTTTGCAGTTGATTTTGTAGATTCACATGTATTATGTTCCCTTTGTACTAATATATTGTACATTTTATATGTGACTTTTATGATACTTATATAGAGAGAATACACCATTTATATGTATAATTATGGAAGGGGATCTGTACTTTCACACCTCAGGAAAAATGGATTAAGAACTGTGACATTTTAAAATTTAAAAAAAAGAAAACCCCAAAGGAAAGGAGAGAATGAAGATTCCCAGTCACTTCCCACAATTAGAAAAGATGCCTTTAGACATTAATCTGCTAGCTTGACATATTTATTGCTTTACAACTGTTTACCTTATAACCTTCACTTGTTATTTAGTGTCACTTTGCATATTGTTACATGTTAATTTGCTGTTCATTCTCTGGCTATAAGTTTGAAACTTCCCTGCCATTCCAATGTATTTGATAAAGTGTGCCATGCACTCGAAAGCTCACACCTTGAATACACCTTTTTTGGTCTTAAAGGTGCCACTGGACTCTAAATTTGTTCTACTGCTTCAGACCAACACGTCTAACCATCTGGATCTAGCTTCTTTAAAACAATTAACTCTGTGTAACTTCATAGAAACATAGAAATAGAAGCATGTGTTTATGTGATTCTAGTTGAATTTTGCAATTTTAATTTTATTTTAATTGTGTTTAGTGTTTGCTGCTTTGTGGACCCTGATTGGATAGAAGGGCAGCACAAAAATGTTTTAAAGAAATAAAATAAAATAAATAACCAAAACATAGATAATTCATAGTCTAAGTTTCCTGGCATTATTTCAGTGTTTTTTTCCCCCCCTGTAGCAGTGTGCACTTTGATATTAACTAATTATAATATGAGTGCAGCGAATGAAGGCAGGGGACAGGGGCAGGTTTATCTTTCCCTTGCCTGCCTTAAAATATTGTGTGAATTTGTCCTGCATTGCTAAGTTTGTTTAATTAATACATTGCTTACATGTTGGAATTTTGACAATTATACAGTCTTTAAAATAAAATGTGAAATTTCCTTTTATTTATAGTTGCACAAAATTAATAAATATTATCTGGTCTGAATGTATCCTATTCTCTTTCCCAGCTATTTTTTAAGTACTGAGAATTCACCAAGAGGAAGACAGCTACATAGGTAAGCAGCGTGGAGAAATTACACTTTGGGTTCCAGATACCTTTGTAAAAAATTTCAGCTGATAATTCTGTTAACACTAAAAGAATAACCTAATGTTGTCTTTTTCGTTAGGTAACAGGTTTAGAGCAAATTTTTCTAGCTGACCTATGGTCTTCTTGAGTGTGGATGATCAAGTTCTGGTAGCCACTATAGCAAATGAATTTCTTCCTGTTGCTTCAAGACTAAAAAGCAATGGATGAGAGATTAGTAATTTTCTGTCAGATAGGATGGAACAGGTCTGGTGGTGCATGAAGGGACAACTCTGTCAAGGAACAGATCTTATTCTGAACTGGGAAAGCACTAGGTAGAAGGAGAAATACTTGATTGTTAATGCAAAAAATGACTGGGAAACAGAGAAGCCAAAGTATGAGCTAGGTGAAATGACTTTATGTGAATGCCTACAGAGAATCAGCACAAATGAATGAAACAGAAATCTGATAATTATAAAATTACTCTGCCTACCACTTACTTACGATCAAAGACAAATATTTAAAAAGATGAATAAACTGTAGACAAAAAAGAAAAGTTTGCATTCATAATTTATTTTACTTTCCCTTTGTTCTGCCCTAAGAGCGCAAAGGATTATAATTCAGGATTATCCAGGAAAACAGGATAGCTGCAATTAAATGGTATTTAAAGAGAGTGCACTCCCTTTAAAAACTGTTCTGGGTGAAGCTGAAGCTTCACAAACACATTTAAAGGGACCATGACACCTTTAAATGTTTTTGGCTCCATTATAGCCTATGGGGACCATTATAGTCAATGATCCCCATAGGCTATAATGGGGAATCTATCGGGGAGTATGTGGGGGCTGGGGGGCTGTTTTTGAGGTAGAGGCACCAACTTTTCAATGTAGCTTCTGGTACCTCTACTCAAAAGACCCCCAAAGTTTCAAAAAGATTGGAACAGGGGGTCCAATTCTATGGGCCCCCAAAGAATGTGCCCCCATCCTTCATTATTTGGAGGGGGGAATCAAAAAAGCAGGGACTGATGTCAAACCAGAGAGTCTCTACAGTAAAAACTGAAGGGGGAAGCATTTTTACGGAACCAGTGCCACCGTGGCAATGCCAGCTCAACAAATCCAAGCAGAAGGGGGTTGCAAGCTTAGCACATCCAGTGGATGTACAGAGTACCCAGAAGAACCAATGCCACTGTGGCAATGGCTGCTCAACAAATCCAAGCAAGGGTTGTTATTGTAGTTTTTTGCAAGCCTAGCACAATCAGTGCATGTACAGAGTGCCCATCAAGAACCAGTGCATGTACAGAGTGCCCAGCAGAACCAATGCCACTATGGCAATGCTAGCTCAACAAATCCAAGCAAGGGGGGTTTTCTAATCCCAGCATATCCAGTGCATGTACAGAGTGTCGAGCAGTACAAATGCAATGTACTAGTACCAACAAAACCCAGTGCCTTCCCTTAAATTCTTTCTTTTTTTCCTCGATTGAAAAAAATGGAGGATGGGGCACTTTCTTTGAGCAGTCTGTATATTCACAGGTTCTGCATGGATCTCTGTACATGTGCTGGCAGTGTTGGACTTGCAACCCCCCTTGCTTGGATTTGTTGAGCTGGCATTGCCACAGTGCCACTGGTTCTGCTGGGCACTATGTACATGCACTAGTTCTGATGGACACTCTGTACATGCACTGGATGTGGTAGGCTTACAAGAAC